TTTTTGTAAAAAAGTGGTCCGTTTCAATTTTTACGTTACACCTGATCTTAAAATTCGATTGGTCAAAATTACAGGGGTGGAAAAAATTTTGTGGGACCTAACAACTTGGAAAATGCGTAGCATTGTGTGTCCGGAGCTAAAGGAGCTATTAATTTTATATTTATCATATAAAATATATACATTTAAATATCGATATTAACACAATATTTTAAATAAATAGTTTTTACTATGCAATAATATAATCATTTGACGATCAAATATATACTGTATCAGGGTTTGATTATCAAAGCCCCTAGTAGGTTCACAATTTTAATAGTAAGTAAAGAATTTAACAGCGGATTCGTGATTTTAAAAGCTGGTATTTATTATTGCAATGTGTGTTTTAACACATGTTATTCTGCATAGTTAACTTTGTTGTAACTTAAATCCTCAAATTATTTTTCTAAAAAAAAAACACGAAGTTAACAGTGTTAATTATAAGTCTAGCTATTAATTCTGCGTCATTTCTCAATTTATATAAATTTTGTATTAAATTACAATCGATATAAATTTTAAAATACGTATATAAAAAATATATTTAGGAGCGCCGGTGGCTTACCCTTGTAATAACTATATAAATACTGTATTTTTTTATTACAATTAAAATTGCATTTAGATATTTGGGCCAGAGTACAATGATTAAAAATTGTTAGAAATATATATAATGCCAATAGCCATAAAAGTCTAAGTGTTTTTTATTTATTTAATGCTGTAATTACAAACTATAAATAAATGAAGGATGTAAATCTCCCAAATGCTTAACATCCTCTCCATTTAATTTTTTTAAAAAATTTTCAGAATCTTTAAGTTTAGATTTATTAGCATTATTAAATAAATAATATTGAATTATGGATAAAATTACGGCAATAACTACAAATGACATTGCAATAGTATGACCAGTCTTATAAGCAGGAGCATCATCGGATTTGTATAATTGCGCGCTTATTGCACCACCTATGTTGCCCCAGGCTATCATCATTGCACAGCCTACAGCACGTTTCGAGTCACCCGCCAGATTATTTGTTAACCTTATTATGTACATGACGGTGTTTTTGTAAAAAATTTTGTTAGAGAAATTAATTAATACAGAACATAAATTAAAAATTTATGATAGATATATTAGAGACTTACCAAGTAAGTGATGTAGGGACACATGCAGACATACCCAATCCAACAATACAAGCACCGGTATATTTCACTAAAAATAGCAAATATTATGTATAATTGGCAGAAACATTTTTAAGGATAAATTTACAAGTAAAACACTTACAAGAAACACTAACACTCGGTACAATGAGTAAAATGTATCCTATAATTGATACTAGTAAACAAGACACCAAATATGGACCACGAACTCCATGACGATCAGATAGTATTGCTATCATGATTGATGAAATACATCCAAAAATAGATGGAGGGGTGGAAAGAAGTTGGGAAATAACTAATAAAAAAAATGGTATAAAAATAAATTATTGACGATTGTTAAATTAGAAATAATGAAGTAAAGTTATCAATGATTACCAGTATTAAATCCTAAACCGTTTACAATTGATGGAATGAAAAAACCGAAAGAATATAATGAAACAAGTATACAAAGATTTATAAACATAAATATATAAATTTTCTAAATACGCATAGAAATAATAAAATAAAATTATAAAACATAGTGTTAAGTTATTTTACATAGGTTAAGCGCAAATAATATCTTTTTATAAGAAATTACCAAATCTCTAAAAGCTTGGAAAATTTGAGATTTATCAAAATGTGTTGTGTTAGCTTCTCCCATATCAAGTCGTAATCGATCAATTGCCAATTTTCTTTCATCTTCTGAAAGCCAAGTAGCATTTTCCGGAAAATTCGAAAATGCAAAGTAAGAGAAAAATGCAATGACGACCGTCATCAAGCCGTCAATAAGAAATAACTGAAATTAAATAATTAAAATGAAATGGTATAATCCAATTAAAAGAAACCGACAAAGTTATAAGCAAGAAATATGCATATTTACTTACCAATCGCCAACCACTCAAACCAAATCTACCATCCAAAC